TTTCTTGTAAATTAAAATCAATTTAGAACTTAGGATTTTTATTTAATTAATTTTATTTACTAATTTAATTAAATTCACAAAACCCCCTAAAAACTTATTTTCTTTAATAAATTAATTTCTTTTACTAACTTAATTTTAATTTTCTTATTCTAGTCAATTATCTCACTTTAATTTAATTAGGTCAAAACCTTTAATACAATAAAAAAAAATCATTCCTTATCCATTCCTATTTGTACATTATATTCATTTCATTTCTTGTATATTTATTCAAATTCAATATGGTTGTAATAGATAATTAGGGTTTTAATTTCTTGCAATTCCCCATTCATAAACTTGTACCCCCATCCCCTAAAGCATTGTAATAGCGTAGGAAATTTAAATTCCACAATTTACCGCTTTCAATATTATTGCTAATAATTAGGGTTTGTATGGAAAGATAAAACCAATGCTTAGAAAACCCTAATCAAGACAAATCAAGCATGTAAACCAATACACTTACACACTTACACCCTTAAGGTAAATCCACTTTGTTGCCTTACAAAAATGGCCATATTCTGCATGTGAGTTGTCTTAGCAAAAGAAATAAAAAAATACAAGATCATAGTCCCTCGATGATGCTATCAAAGTTGCCTTTCAAAAATGATCTTAGTCCCTTAAAGAAAATGCTAAGATATCTTACAACATTTCTAATCATGGCTATACGATGACCCACGTCCGTCCCTTTTACATCCAAAGATAGGGTTTCTTACCAAACCAATGGTAAGATAACAATGACAAAGGAAAGAGGAAATAAACATGAAAGACTTTTTGAGTAGGTAGAATGTTTCTAGTTGCTTGCTCATTTTCAAACCAAAAACATCCTTGCTATTTTCAAAAACAAACACCAACACTTTCAAAAACATCTTTCAAACTTGAAAACATTTTCAAAAGATCAACACTTTGTATACATTCTTACGAACAAGAATCATTACAAAGTTTACCTAAACAATGACGCCTTTTTCAAAGTACTTTCAAAAACCACACAAAGCACATTTTCAAACAAAAGCAAGTGATCTAGAAAGTAACTAAGAGCCCGTAGATAACTACAGATGAAAAGGGTGCTAATACCTCCCTTTTTCATAATCTACCCCCCGAACTCAAGAAAACATCTCAAAGGTCTTTCCTGTTCTTTTCAACCTTTCCTTTTGGATAAAAGAAAAGTCAGTGGCGACTCTTGCTAACCGCAACATTTTCAATCAAATGCAAAACAACCAAGTCAGTTCTCCCACCGTGTTACAGTCCCACTATAGTGTTTTTCTTAGCTTGGATCATTTACTGACACGGTTAAGTGCTTGAAGTCAAAACCAGACGCTCTGATACCAATTGAAGAATTGAAAAACACAAGAATGGGGGGGTTGAATTAGAATCTTAAAATTCACTGGAAAGAACACAATGATTTTTATTCTGGTTCGTTTGAACTCAAACTACTCCAGTCCACCCATCAAGGTTATTTCACCTCTCTCCAACAAGGTCTTAATCCACTAATCAATCTTGATTACAAATCTACTTTGACTACTGCCAAAGTCTTCTTGAGTATAACCACAACCCGATTTTTTCAAGGAATTTCACTAAATAATATAATTATAAGACGGTGTACAGTAATGTTTTCTTACAAAACAGTATCACAATATGTGGTGTTTTACACAGTTGAGAGAATTGTATGTATGAGGACTAGAAAAGATTGCAACGTTGTTTAGTGTTGTGAAATCGTAAACGATTTATCCTCACGTCTTGTTTAAATAGGCACAACATGAATGATCTTTTGGAAACATGATTAATGACCGTTAAGGTGCTTTCCAAAAATAAAGACCCTTGTTCCCTTCCAACCGTTACTCTTGAAATGGAAATATTTAATTTGTAACGCTTCCGAACATTGAGGTATGCATTGCTGCATGCTTCAGAGCTTTTGAAGATCAGAGCCATAAGATCCTGTTTGTAGCATTAGACTTACTTTCCCAGAGTTGTGTAATCAGAGTTAAAACATCTTTCTTTTAGCATAACTTCTGATCTTCTATCATCAGAGCTTTTTGAGAATTGTCTACGTTCACAGCATGAACAACCTTATAGCTTATCTTCTGATCTTGTTCCATCATAACTTCTCTACAAAACAAAATATAATTTTAGAGTGCATATTTGTTCTTTGTGTTTGTTATCATCAAAACTCTTACTAGAGTTGTAGAATCCAACTATGTTCTAATAGCTACAACATTAAATGCTAGTTCATCTCCAAGTAGTTTCAGTGGTAAAAACGATAACAATGGATTTAAGGGAAAGAGCAATAGCTACAAGGGACACAACAGGGTGCACACTCACTGCAATAGGACAAATCACACTAGTGAAACATGCTTTCTTAAGCATGGCTTTCCATCGGGCTATAAAGGGAAGGGCAGGTCTCAAGCTCTTTCTGCTGCAAGTTCTCAATAAAATGCTACAATCAATAATGTCTCTGAATTAGCTCAACAAGGATCATCTGCATCCTCGTTTGGTTTTACTCAAGATCAGTATAAAAACATTTTGGAATTGCTTCAAAAATCAAAGTTTGCATCCCAAGCTAAAGCTAATTCCACCACTACCCCACCTTTTGTCCTAAACTCACATTCCTCTAATCAAAATGGTAAGAACCCCAATCTTCGTATTCTAGACACAGGTGCTACAAACCACATTTCTTTTAATATTGAATCCTTTATTGAGTACAAAACCATAGTTCCTATTCCTATCACTTTACCTGATGGATTCAATTGATTGCTTCAATATCTGGTAGTGTAGCTATTTCCTCACGTTTTTCTCTTCAAAATGTCCTTTATATTCCTAAATTCCATGTAAACCTTATCTCTCTTGCAAAATTAGCCACCAGCGACGATTGTTCCTTACAATTCAATGCTAATACATGTCAAATTATGCAGAACCATTCCAAGGCAATGATTGGTATAAATAATCTACAAAGAGGCTTGTATGTTCTTGAATCTACAGGTCATGTTTCCACTTGTAATTCTGTTGCAAATAATTCTTGTAACAGTTGGCATTCAAGATTAGGCCATGTCTCAGATATAGGTTTACAAACTATTTCCAAGTTTTTTCCTTACATTGATTGTCAAAATAATGCATCACCCTGTGATGCTTGTCATTTTTCTAAACAAAGAAGGTTACCTTTTCCAAATAGTATCACTCATTCTTGTGCTCCTTTAGAAATTTTTCATGTTGACTTATGGAGGCCATTCTCCACCATTTCCATGTTGGGACATAAATGTTTTCTAACTTTGATAGATGACTATACTAGATACACTTGGGTAATATTTCTAAAAACCAAAGATCAAACTAAAAAGTGTCTCGTTCATTTTTTAGCTCATATTGAAAACCAATTTAAAACATCTTTGAAATGCCTCAGATCTTACAATGGCACAAAGTTTGTTACCTTGTCTGAATTTCTTTTAACCAAAGGCATTATTCATCAAAAGACATGTGTAGAAACACTTCAACAAAATGGGGTGGTAGAAAGGAAGCATCAACATATTCTTAATGTTTCCAGATCATTATAATTTCAATCTAACATTCCCTTAAACATGTGGAACTTCTGTATTCAACATGCCATACATCTCATTAATCGTTTACCAACACCTCTTTTAAAATCAAAATGCCCTTATGAAATATTGTTCCAAAAACCTCCCTCTTTCCCGCATCTAAAGATTTTTGGATGTCTTATCTTTGCTACAACACTACAAGTTCATAGGACAAAGTTTGACCCTAGAGCCAGAAAAACTATTTTTATAAGATACCAAGAGGGAACCAAGGGTTATATTCTGTATGATCTACAAAACCACTCAATATTTGTTTCAATAAATGTTATTTTCTATAAAACACACTTTCCTTTTAAACATAACTCCACACCTCCTCATTCTGATCACTCATCTACACCATCCCATTCTAACCATATTCTCTTTAATGACCCACCTTCCCAAGCCTACTTCCCCATTCAATAGACTAGTTCTGATCTATCTTTATCCACCTGTTCCATTTTTTCTCCCAACTCTCCTTTATTACCCAACAATCCCTTATCTCCTCCCTCCCCAAACCTACTCAACAACCTTATAATGCACAAAATACTCTATTACATGATAATATACCATCTCCTTCTGGAACCTGTTCTGTGCCTATTACACCTAGGACTGATGCTGACTTATCTTTTGTTGCCAGCCCCAGTTCTATACACAATACACATAATTCTAGTCACCCTTTACCAAATAGCCAACCTTTATCCAATGGTCCAAAAATTGCTCTCAATGAAACCATAATACATCCTGAACCTAACAATACAATCTCTTTACCTATTAGACAATCCACACGCATCTCTCAACCACCTAGTTATCTAGAAGACTATCATTACTATTCCATTTCTAACAATTCTCTTCCTCTGAACAATAAAAATCCTTATCCCCCGTCCTCTGTTCTCTCCTATGCTTAATGCTCTCCTAATTACAAACAATTTTGTTGTTCCATTTCCTCAACCGTTGAACCTAAAACCTTTAACCAAGCCATCAAACTTGATTGTTGGAAAAATGCTATGAATGTTGAATTACAGGCACTTGCAGATGATTAAACTTGGGTTGTGGTTGATCTACCCCCTAAAAAAACACCCATTGGTTGCAAATGAGTCTACAAAACCAAATATCATGCTAATGGATTCGTTGAGAGGTATAAGGCTACATTGGTTGCAAAGGGCTATACCCAAATGGAAGGCATAAACTATTTTGACACATTTTTTCCTGTGGAAAAAACCACCACATTCAGAGTCCTACTTTCTATTGCTGCTATCAAAGGGTGGTATCTGGAGCAATTAGATGTTAACAATGCATTTCTCCATGGAGATCTGCAAGAAGAAGTCTACATGACTCTTCCTCCTAGCCTTATGCATGACATTTCCTCTAAAGTGAGTAAAATTTAGAAGTCCCTATATGGTTTAAAACATGCTAGCAGGTAATGGTATTCTAAACTCTCTCTTAATTTCTTTGGGGTACTCTCAATCACAAGCTGATTACTCCCTGTATGTAAAATCTGATCACCATAGTTTTATTGCACTATTAGTTTATGTAGATTATATAGTGTTGGCAGGGAATTCTATGCAAGTAATAAAGCTTGTCAAGCAACTCCTGGATGAAACCTTTAGAATAAAGGACCTTGGTAAGTTGAGATTTTTTCTAGGTTTTGATATTGCCAGGTCTGCTACAGGCATCTTCATGAATCAAAGGAAATATACCCTGGAACTTCTTGAAAACACAGACTTTCTTGCAACCAAGCCCTCATATGTTCCCTTTGGTCCCACATTCAAGCTTTCCCTCACTGATGGCAAGCCTTTTGAAGATCCTTCAGCATACAGGAGACTTATTGGCAGGTTGATTTACCTAACTAATACTAGGCCTGACATATCTTATGATGTGCAACATCTAAGTCAATTTGTGTCCAACCTATTAGTACATCACTATCAGGTTGCTATAAGGATCCTAAGGTACTTGAAATCCTTTTCTGTCAGAGGTATCTTACTTTCATCCACCCGTTCTTTGAAACTTTATGGATTTACTGATTCTGACTGGGCAAGATGCCCTGATACAAGGAAATCGACTACTGAATATTGTGTGATCCTTGGATCATCTCTTTTATGCTGGAAGTCAAAGAAATAGAACACTGTGTCCAGGTCATATATAGAAGGCAAATATAGGGCTTTGGCATCTTTAACATACAAGTTACAATGGTTGCAGTATCTTTTCAAGAATTTCAGATTGTTTTTTCTCAACCAACCTCTGTGTACTATGACAACAAATCTGCAATTTACCTTGCTTACAACTCAACATTTCATGAAAGAAGTAAACACATAGAACTGGACTGTCGTGTTATTCAAGAGAAAATTCATTCCAAGGTTATACATCTTCTTCCTGTATCTACAAATACACAACTGGCTGACATGTTCACTAAGCCGTTACATTTTCCTGCTCTATCTAGATTTTTGGACAAGTTGGGACTGTTTTCGATTCACAGTCCAACTTGAGGGGAGATATTAGTTTAGTCTATTTACTTAATTCCATAATGTACAAGCCCAAGCCCATATAGTTTATTGATGTAGCCAAATTATAGAGTGAGTGTTGTTAGGTAACATAGATAGTGCAGTTAGTTATTCTATACAGTAGCTGAACTTTTGTATGTATAGCACTTAGTTGCTAAGTTACAATCAATGAAACATTTATTATCATAATCTTTTTCTGCAATTCTTTTGCGTTTTCTATCAGAGATCTTCATCATCAAGAGTTCTATTTGATGCTAGTCCTTACCTGGTGGTTTTGAGCTCTAGCATATGCCCCTTTTCAGATGTGATTTTGGTTGCCTAAGCCTCTACGTTGTTTTTTTCTGACGTTGTTGTATTTTAGTTTTTGTATTCCCATATTTTTATGTTTTCTTTCTCAGTTTTCAGCTGGGCACATCTTGTGTTGTCTGAATTCACTTATGTTGTACTTTTGGATTTTTGCCCCTATATCTATATTGCCATTCAAATATATATTTTTAAATTTTAAGAAAAAATATGGTACATTAGCATATAAATATAATATCATGTTTATTGTTTTGTTTTAAATATTAAATACATATTAAAATATAGACGTAGGACTTTAAATTCTTCCTTCCAAAACTATTCAAAAATCAACTCACAAAAATATATAAGTGATCAAATATAAGTGCCATTTTTGTGAATGATCATAGCTTACTTATGCATGCATCGAGTTTCACTAACAAAGATTTTAACGTGAAAAGTTATATTTCATGACAAAGTAACCTTCAAGATTCTTTTGCCAGTAGACTCAAAGACCTCAGTGAAATCTTGTTGCATTTACATAATAAGTCTTTTCTCAATAAATTGTCCAATACTCAGAAGTCTGTTGTTCATATTTGAAAAATAAAGTGCCTCTAAAAACAAAACAAACTTCCCATATTTCCTTATAATTATCACATCTCTAACATATTTTTTATTGAACTTATTTTTTACTTTATTTGATTTATCATTCTTTAAAGAACGTACAGGTTGTTCTTGGCCATCCTTGGATGAGCCACTCTTCTTTAAATTCCACTCATTTTTCTTAGTTTCCTGGTTTGTCTTTCAATTCTCACCAACGTCATGTTTTGACACATGTGCTTATAAGGTTTGTTCAATAGTTATTTTAGTGCATCTTTCTGTCTAACGAATTTCATGTGTTTCCAAAAAGCTTTAAAGCTTTTCAATTTTCATTTCTTCCATACTTTTGAACTCTTTGATAGCAACAACAACTGATCAAATTGTATAGGCAAGGTTTGCCTCATTTAAGTTAAAGCCTTTTGGTCTGACTTCATGAGCAAAAGCTAAAAATTTTAATGGATCACGAGGAAGGGGCATTCCCATTTGAACAAGACATTTAAGCATTGGCATACATTTGAACAAGATACACCGTTTGGAGTTAGAAAAACTTTTGATACAAGAGTCAGTTAAATAGATGAACCATTAACTCTGATATCACCATATATTCATCAAGAACCTTAAGATATTAAGTATATAAGTTATCTTATTTATAAATTGCTCTACCTTCACTTTTCTAAGTAATGTGGAACTTCTAATTCACACTTGTACAAAACAATATCTCTAATATGAATTAACACAGTAACAAACACCATGAAGAGAATATCAAATTCCTAACTTGCACGTATCATTGAGGAACAACAATAAGTGTATGGCATATGATCATACCTGATCAAAAGGGATCGTCGATGACCCATAAGCTTGAACTAAACGGGGGTTGAAAGTGAAGTGGGAGGGGGGGGGGGGGGGAGAGTACCTGTAAGATGCTCCGATGTTAAAGTAAGTATCTGAACAATAATGCAAGCAGAGGGTTTTAGTGAGTAGTAATCAATGTACCTGACCCTCTCGTATGAGAGGGTATTTATAGCCCCCAACGCTGGACCAAGATCTACGCACTGGGCCGGATAGTGGGGAATAGCTATCCAATATCTATAAAAAGGAGGTGACGAAATTTACTTAGACATTTTTGACTTTTCTCTCCCGTATCTCTTCTTCATTCGCTAGCTGCCCCGTCGTTGCCGCCGTTACCGTAGAATTTTGTAGCATTCTTCATTTTTCAAGTAAGTGATACTTTTAAACGCATGTTAATTTATCTTAGGATTTTAGCTTGAATGTATGAAATTTATGGTGGATATGAAATTTCTGACGAATCTCCCGGCAAACTGATGAATTTTCGGATGAAGTCCATGAGTTTCGTATGAAGATTCATGGAGTTCATATGGATTTATGAGTTTTGGATGAAGATCCATGAACTTCAGATGAATTTCATCTGGGTTCATGTCGGGGGCATCCTCCCCGTGAATTGGAGAGATCTAAGTAAGCCGCTTTGTCAGAGAGAACGTCTCTGTGATTTTATGCTTATACAGGGTCGTCGCTTCCTTTCACGTTTGCCATCAAGGGCTTAAGTTGAGGACCTACCCTCGAGGCTCTCCTCGCCCTTTCACTTGACTTGTGGTGGAATGATGGATTTGATGATGTCGAATCCACTGTTTTCCCTTGCTTTTTAGGTTAGATGGCACAACCGGTCGAAGAAGTTATTCTGCCCGACTCAAACAGCAAGGAAAACATAAATACGGGCAACAACCTAGATTGGGTCTCATCCGAACCCATAAACATGATGTCTCAGTTTGTTCATGATTCATCTGATGTGTTCGATGTTGTCGAGGAAAAGGAAAATGGTGCCATCGCCTTCTGGTCGGTCCTTATTCTGCACAAGAACAGGAGGATCTGCTTGGCTTTCCCGGACACGCGCTTCCCCATGTACGAATTTGCCTTTAAGGATGCGAGGATGCATCTGCCCTTTACGAATTTTCAGGTGAGGGTTTTCAAATGGTTAGACCTGGAACCCTCTCAACTCCACCCAAATGCGCTCACTTTTATGCGGGCATTTGAGTTTGTTTGTCAATACCTCAATATTGGTGCTACCTTGACCCTGCTCTTCCAAATATTCCATCTCCAGTGGCAGACTGTTAAAGGCCTTCAGGCCTGGGTGTTGTTCAAACAATTTGGAAAACTGTTATGACAATACCTAGAATCTGTCAGACATTTCAAGGAAAGGTACTTTGTCGTGAAGCCTATTTTAGTAGCGGCCATGGGCTTCTTCTTGTTTGATCCTTCAGTCGAGATTAAGGATGGTCGAGAAGTGACGAAGCTACGGGAAAAATTTCCTCTTGAGTGGAAGCGGAAGCACTTCGAGCAAAGGCCAGAACATTATGCATTAAATTCCGAGGAGCTGGATGCCCAGGACAGGCTTAGTTATGATAAACTAGTAGCCTATGTCAGGAGTTTCTCCCTTGCCAAATGTGTGAACTCATACAACAACTTCATTTTTGATGATGAAGGGGAGCATGTCTATGCTTCTCGCCTGATAAATACGAAAACGCTACTCGAATGCTCTTCTGAAGAAGAATCTTTGAGACTCTTAGGTAGGGATCATGCCCATAGTTGGTATATGTTTTTTTGTTTTGTAAGACTAACTGTTTACCTTTTGGATTGTAGGTCGGATGTCGACTCTCCAGGAACATGTACTCAAACTGAAGGGCAAAGGTGGTAAAAAGTTTCCCAAAGGACGTGCTGCTCAGATTTAGGAATAGACCAAGCTTGACACCCATGTCAGTCGTTCCTCTTCTCCTCGAGGTGACCGACTCTCTCCCTCTAAACAACCCATAAAAAGGAGGCGCGAGGAAAGTCTTGAACTCGTGGTCCTTACAGATGAGGGCAAGAATGTCGGGGAGACCTTCGTGCTGCCCCCATGTTATCTTAACCGTGGTATTTTTAGCGGGGACAATTCCTTAGGAATTCATAAATGGGAGATGAAAGCTATGTTGTCCGCGGACAAGGAGATCCGGTAGAAAAATTTGTCCAAGGACGTGGCCGCTGTAATTAGGGTTCTCGAGACTGCCCTGACTCTGAATGACGCGAAAACGTGTTCACAGGATGTTCTTGACAAAGCGAAGGCCCAAATCAGAAAGCTGGAGGGGCATAATGAAAAGCTGAAGAACGATCTTCTCGTACATCTGGAGAAGTATGAGATCCAAGTCGGGCTCGTCAAGGAGTTGGACAAACTAAAGCTGAAGATAGATACCATGGCGAAGGAGAACGAAAAACTGTTTTCCAGGGTAAAAGAGCTGGAAGGGGTTGTGGCACCTGCTGATGAGGAAACCGATGAGGAGAAGGCTTTACAGACTAAAGAAGAGATAATTGTCTGAATTCGTCAACTTGAGCAGGATGTTTTGGACACCCTTGGGTACGACTTTAATATTGTTGTGCAGCAACTCAAGATTGTCAACACCGGGGTCAAGCTCATGAATAAAGGGAATGGACCTTTTCACCAAGTGGTCAATGGGAGGATAATTCCTCCCCCCGATGATAATCTTGAAGGGAAGTCGGGTGGCGAGGAGGACGGACGTGAAGACTAGTTTATGTTTTGGGCCCGCGTGCCCGTATGTTTACCCGACCTGCACGCCAAATTCTTGTTTTAATGTTTTGACAAGGGGCTTGCCTCGATTTTTGTATAACTATTTTTCGTTTGGGTCTGCACGCCCTTCCATCTGTAATATCTGGACAACACCGACCTTTTTGGTC